CCCATGGCTTTGCTGCTACTTAGTGGCAAAGGCCACATTTCTGTAGATACTCAGAACAAAGTGGGGATTTACATTTTAGGGAATGGAGCTGGATGGTATATGATTTCATGATGGACCCCTGACCTTCAGATTCAAATATTGGCTGCCTGTATGACCTCTGTTTATAGGTCTTACTATCAGGAACAGGGGTGGAATAGTGAAGTGGTAAGATCATCTTATATAGACTCAGATTGCTGGGCTCAAATATTGGTACCATCACTGAGAACTACACTTCTCTGAGGAGTCATCTCTCTAAGCCTCTATACATATAACTGTAAAATGGAGAAAATAATCATTATTTTTGGTAGGATCATCCTAAGTATTAAATGAAAAGTTCTTGGAATAATATCTTACACATAGAAAATCACCAGTAAATGTGGTCTATTAGGAATATTGCAGGGCCCAGGATTTAGCTCAGTGGTTCCGCCACCTGCCTTGCCTGAGTTCGATCCCTGGTACCAAGAAAAAAAAAAAAGGAATATTGCAAATTAGTGACTTTATGAAATGAAGACTAAAACATGCCATGGGATGTATTTTATATACTAATTCCATGCTTTGCTTTGCTTTTGCACTTATTTCTTTGCCTTTTATTTTAATTGCTTTTTGAAAATTGCACGTGTCTATAAATACGTACACAAATAATACCTGATAGAAATTTGTATAGTAATCCCTCTTATCCGTAGGGGATATATTCTAAGATACTCAGTGGATACCTGTTATGGCTTATGTCTGATTGTCCCCTTGAAGCCTCGGGCGGTCTTTTTCAAAAGTGGAATGTGTGTGATGCTAGGATTAAGGGTGTATGGTTACTGCATGTGCATGAGTGATGGGGCACCGCCGTAATCCCAGTAATCTGAGTAGGAAAGACACTGTGAAGGTCTCTTGCTGCTTTTGCTGCCACTGTGAACTGTTGTCCCTCTCCCACCCTGCTTTGGAGCCAGCTGATTATGGGCTAAACCCTCCCCAAACTGTAAACCAATAAACCTTTCCCCCTTTAACTTTCCTCTTACTTTTTTTTGGTACCGGGGATCAAACTCAGGTCCTTGTGTTTGCGAGGCAGACAGCAGAACCACTGAGCTAAATCCCCTGCCCTCCGCCTTTAAATTTCGATATATTTTGTCTCATCAACAAGAGAAAAGTGACTCACACAACACCTGAAACCATGGATAGAACTGAACACTAAATAAACTATGTTTTTTCTTATCTGCATATACCTATAGTAAAGCTTATTTATCAACTAGGCACAGTAAGAGATTAGTAATAACTACTAATCAAATAAAACAGTTATAACAATATACTATAAAAATTTATGTGACTATGATCTCTCCCTACATCAAAATATCTTACTGCTTACTGTTTTGTTTTTGTTTTTTTGTTTTTTTTTTACTTTCTCACTTCAAGGAAGCACTTTATAGCTTCTTTTTGACATATTTGAATTACAAGCATTCCTGTTCTTGTGATCTGAAAGTAAATATTACTTAACACAAACTGATTTGCTAACTGAGAAAACAGCTAAGTGGCTAAAGGGCAGACATTATATACGTGCAGATATTCAGGACAAAGGGGTGATTTGCATCCTAAGAGGGAGTAAGCTGGATGGAATAAGATTTCGTCATGTAATTTACAATGATTCATAATTTAAAACCTACTAATTATTTACTTCTGGAAGTTCTCATTTAATATTTTCAGACTCAGGTTGACTGTGGGTAACTGAAACTACAGAAAGGCACATTGCAGAAAGGGGGGTCTGTTATAATGGAAAGAAGCGATATTTCCTCCTCTCCATCACTGTAATCTTTTCTTCCTCTTGATGTTGATGAGCCATGAAGATTGGGGCGCAGGCTGCTGGGGCTCAGACTCTCGAGCTCCTGCATACTGAGCACAAGCTCTTCCACTGAGCTACACCCCTAGTCCGTGACTTCAAGATTATGCTGTCTTTCTACTGGTTCCCTTTTTCGTAATTGCCACCTTTCCAGCACCTTTATCCTCCTGTTCCAAAGTTGACCTTTTTCTAGCCCTCTGCTCAGCAGGTGAAAGGAGGCTGAGGGCCCAGCTTTACATCTGGGGAGATATCCTTGACCTGTTTGAGCCTCTCTGTACATTTTTATTCCAAAACATCGTGGAAGGTGCCTGCATATTGGCACCTGTCAAACTAGCAACCTTTCTGTTATTTCAATTACATGGTATATGAACTCTACTAAATTAACTCCTCTGTATAATTAGGAGAGAGATGCCTGACTCACAAGGTTCCTGGGAGAATGCAAGGATTTAAACATGTAAAGATGTTGAAAGTGCCTAGAGCTTAGTAGGTATTCAGTGCATTTTATTTCCTTCATTCCTTCTAATACCACTGCTACACAGATTATCTCTTTATGTAAAATAAGGAATAGCAGTGGTGACATCAGAAGGTTGCTATGAGTCAATTGTGATAATACATATGTAGACACACACACACACACACACCTACCTATATAGATAGCACATGTATAGATGTGCATTACAGGGAAAGGGAAAGGGGTGTCACCAGAGACCTCTGCGAGCCAGTACCATGTCTGTGGGATAAGAACGTGGGAAATAAAGACACAGAGACAGAGACTTGAGAGAAACAGAGTCTTGGGCTGATCTAAGCTGCTCTGGGCAGCAAAGACAAAGGACTCCTAGGACATCCAGTGTTTATTCATTACCAGTGTGGGAAGGGGAAACTGGGCAGGCCTGGGGACACCTGCTGATGACAAGTATCAAGCAGGCAGGACTGAGTAATGAGGGCTCAAGCATATCTTTGCTGAAGAGAACAAACAGTTAGTTGAGATGGGAGGAATTCAGCTGCAGCTGAGGTGACCTTGGCTGGAAATGACCTTAGCTGATCGGACTACTTCTGATGTAACACAGCCAAACTATGGAGGGGCGTACACTATGTGTGCCACTATAGCCTGCTAATGCTGGGTAGCTGTCTGCTACAGTGTATGTGTTTTGTTTTATTTTAATTTTTTTATTTTTTTGGTACCAGAGATCGAACTTGGGACCTTGTGCTTGTGAGACAGGCAGAGACACCACTGATCTAAATCCCTGGCCCTGTATGTATTTTATTTTTAGGAAAAATGGGATTGTGTTTCATTTTTTTGAGACAGGGTCTCACTCTGCAGTTCAGGCTGGCCTTGAACTATGTATCCCAGGGTGACCTCAAAGTCATGATGATCCTCCTGCCTCAGCCCCCTTAAGTACTGGGATTACAGGCGTGCACCACCACGCTCAGCAAAACAGGTTTTTATACAAATAAAATCACTACTGTACCACTGCAGGTTATTTGTCATCATTATTATTCAGGACACTTAATGCCAACTGAGAAAATGATATTGTGTACTTTATTTGAATATCCTGGTTCTCTAGTTATTATGGATCGAAAACTAGAGAGGGGGAGAATAACGATGGGATGAAAAGGAAAAGAAAACCTGAAATGTTACAAAATTTTACACTAATTATTACTTATTAATAGTATCATTCAAGGTAATTAGGATAAATTATTCATGAAGAGGAACTTGCATTCGGGCACATTAGTACTCAGTAAATATAAGTAAGAGTAGTGTTTGTCAAATCTAGAGATCTTTGGAATCATTGCAGATTTTTTGGGGGGGGGCACCTGGGATTGAATTTAGGACCTTGTACTTGGCAGGCAGGTGCACTGCTACTGAGCTAAGGCCCCAGCCCCTCATTCCATAAATTTTTAACAAAATATGTTTGTGATTTCTTCCCTGATTTACTGAATCAGAATCTCCGGAAATGAAAGCCAATAATTTTTTTTTTGGTAAAACTCTCAGTTGATTCTGATGATCTATCTTTATTTGGAAATCTTAAATGAACAGGGTTTTAACTTCCAACATAATAAAGTAGTCTTTATCTGTAAACAGAAATAAACCATTCCTCCTTTATCTTGGGGTGTCAAATATTCTGTCTCAGCAGTGAGAAAAAGTAACTGAGACAGGCGTCTTAGCCCAGAGAAGCTAAAGAGCGGCTTTGTTCTTAAAATAACATTTTTATGCATAGAGTAAAATACTTGGGATTATAATGGAGACCAATTATACGACATTTTATCAACTTGTTAAAGGAGTAAATTTGTGATCTAACAATGTGTTTATCAACACATTCCACAAGATTTAATAGCAAGTCACTGGAAAAATTATAAAATTAGGGCAACTTGAGATGAAAGCTGGAGTGACATTTCAGGGCTTGGATTCAGAGCATTTCAGCTTCTCTGGCTTATAAGATTAAATTGGCTTCATCTCTGTATTTTGCAGGAAGCATTGCTGCAAAGCCCTAACTTCGTCATCATCCTCCCCAAAGTCCTAATGCACTGTAGTTATTTACAGGAGCAGAAAAGCCATATAGAAGGAGCATGGCTTTTCTACAAATTGCAAAGGTGAAGAAAGATTCAAGAATGTTTTAAAATAAAAGTAGGGACTTTTGGAATATTCCTACTTGGCTGAAAGAAATGGCGTTTCCTTCACTGGGCTCCCCAATATTTAGTTTGTTCTTCCATCCACCCATTCCGTGAACATTTTTTGAGCATTTGCTAAGGCCAGACCCTGCTGGTTAGTCTAAGAAACAATAACAACTCACAGACTTGCCAGATGTTGAGTCACGGTTGTGAGCGGTCATGATAAGCACATGGCATCTGAATCTGACTACGCTTGTTTTCCCACTTAGAACAAGGCAGAGATTGGGATTAATAAAGGGATACTGAGGAGTAATGGGTTTTTGGCCCACTATTTCAAATTCATCTTTAAACTGCTTGATCTTTTCTGAGAGTATCTGATAGCAGTTGAATGCAATGGCTCTGTCTGTCGGTGAGAAAAAGCCAATAAGCATGACCAAGAGATGAAAGAAAAGCTTATACTTGCAGCAAATAAAGAGCACACCAGAAGTAATTCTCAAAGCCATACATCTCCAGCTAAAGAAACCGGGAGCTTTTTATTGGGGTGACTCATCCATACTTGAACAGGAAGGGCTTCTCGTCACATAGGGAGGCAGGTGCCTCACTGAGGTGTTTCGTTGGCAGCCATGCTTCATGTGTTCAAAAACGGCAGCTGAGAGGCCTCCTGAGTGGGAAATTCAGTATTAATAGTGAGCAAAATTTATTCTAGGTCACCTGAGAAGAATGAGGTAAAGTGACTCTGGTTCCTTGTAAGTCTCTCTGTAGGGCCCTGACTGAAACAAACAACTTAGAGGGAATCATACAGTAATTTGAAGGGGCAGAGTCTTCCCTGCCCTGGGAAGCGTAGGTGATTACCCTTAAAGTACCTGCTTCACTGCTAAAATGATTCCTTCTTTTAGTAAATTACTAGCCTATGTTAGGTCAGCTCAAGAAGAGAGCACACAATCATTCCTAGAGAACTTCCCAGAATACGTTTGCTGAGACTCTCAAGGTTCAAACTGACCATCTCGTTAACCACAGATGATGAAGTCTCACGACAGGTTTACAGGTTCTTGTGCACAGTGAACAAAGAGTGGACTCAGCAATGTTTAATGAAATTTTTTGTTTTGTTTTGTTTGGTACCGGGGATCGAACTTGGGACCTTGTGCTTGCGAGGCAGGTGGTGGAACCACTGAGCTACATCCCCAACCCTGTTTAATGAATTTTTAAGGGAAAAGGTACATTTAGAGTGAGCAGGCTTGCACCAGTGAAAAGAAAAATGGTACAAGCACTGAATATTTTGGGCTTAAGAATTTGAAATGTTGCGGTGGGTCTAGGGTCTAGGGTGCCTCCTATGGAGTCCTTTTCTTTTTCTTTCTTTCTTTCTTTCTTTTTTTTTTTTTTGATACCAGGGATCAAACTCAGGTCCTTCCACTTGCGAGGCAGGTGGCAGAACCACTGAGCTAAATCCCCGGCCCTCCTATGGAGTCTTTTAGAGCATGATTTACCAGGATGTTGAGTCATATCAGCCACTTCTATTTCACGTATCCTTTCCCATAATTCTCTCTCTTATAATTGGATTATGAGATGCAGTCCTTTTGTTTAAATCTTTAATGAGCTCCAAGTGAAGAAAGGTAGGTCAGGCATTCATTCACGCATCCTGGTTTGAGATTTTGGAATTTTTCAGGAGTCTTTGCTATTCTTATCTCTGCCTCTAGGTAGTGGGCTTTGGAACAAGGGTCAGGGATATTGGGCCTGGGGTATTGCCCACATAGTTGTGAGTGCAGGGGAGGTGTCCCATGACGCCAACTGTACCATTTATATTAATCTGCACAGTTCAAAGTCATTGGGAAATTTGTTGCATCCTAAATTTGTATTTACATCAGATTTAGGCTGATCTTGTTTATACTGTGTGACACTTGTTATATGTAATAGGTTGGTTAACTTGAAATGGGGAAAACGGGTTGATCCCAGCTTTTTAATTAGTTGATGGGGAAATAAATAGTTTTTTTAAATGAGAAAAAAAAAAAAAAGGACAGTAGGACAATGATAACAAAAAATCCAAAAGAAAATCCTTCTAGGAAGCATCAGCAGTATGCCTTTAGATAGTTGTTTTTACCCTCAGGCTAATTCTTTTTTTTTTTTTTTTTTTTTTTTTTTTTGTACCTGGGATTGAACTTGGCCCTTGAACTTTTGAGGCAGGCACCAGAACCACTGAGCCAAATGCCAGACCCTATACTCTGGCTAATTCTTGAAGGTTCTCTCAGGTTATCTGTACATTGTCAGTGTGAGGATCAAATGAAATCTATGAGACAGGCTACTGTAAACTCTGTTCTGTGCACAATTTAGGTGCTATCACTGTCTGCTCATAATTTAGGAAGTCATTTGCTCCAAAAGAACTTAGCTGTGGTGGTGCACACCTGTAATCCCAGCCCTCTGGAAGGTTGAGGCTAAAGGATCACAAGTTTGATCCCAGCCAGGGCAACTTAGTGATTTAGAAAGACCCTGACTCAAAATAAAAAATAAAAGGGGGGCTGGAAATGTAGGTCAGTGCAAAAGACCTGGGGTTTAATCTCCAATACAAAAAAAAGTTGGACATATTTCCCTTCTGGGTTTTATTTGTTTCTCTTTTGGCCTGTTTGTTCTTTTGCTTATCCATGTAAGAGTGAAACCATTCATTAGCAAGGACTTTGAGTCCTTTCTCAATCCCGCCAATTCTACAGTATTTTTTTGGTGAATCCTGCAAGCCAAAGTATTTCAAGGCTTCCTGTTTACTAGACTTTGTCGTTAGTTACTCCGCAGCCCCAGAGATGAAGTAGGAAAGTGGGAAATCATTTTATATCAGAGTGCCATTAATGTAAGTGGAAAAGAAATAAACAGATTAAATTAGAATTGCATGACTGCTCCTGAACCTATTACTACCATATATTACTCCTGACATATTTATAAAGCTATCTCCGTATCTTAATGAATGGAAAGTAGCCTATGTGTTTATTCACCTTTCTGTTTTTATCTGCTTCTCTCCACTTTCAAAATAAGGGATTCAAATGCTGGAGTGGGACAATTGGTGGGGGTTGGGGAAAGTGTGTGGGATATATCTATTATCTTTAAAACAATAATGGAAAATAGATAATATTATTCACTTTCCGGTGCTGACATACAATACACATATAATGTAAACATAATTAGTGTGGGTTAATTATTTACATACATACTTGACAACTCTTTGGAGGAGTTCTTTATCAGCTTCAAGCCCTCATAAGAGTCCCGTGAGAAAGGCTGGCAGCCAGCATCTTTATGTAGGCAAGGCTTAAGCCTGATTCAGTTTTTTGCCTCACACCTAGCTTATTTTTAGAAGGCAATACAAAGACAGTAAAAATAAAATACTGAAAAGCAATACAATCACACCTATTTGAATACATTCTCAGATTGAGTGGGGTCTCACTGGGGTTTTCTGTGGGTGGCTAAAATATGTCTTGGCCTGGCAATGAGAGAATAAAATCATTGCAATTTTTGCTTTAGGAAATTATTCTAGCTTTCAACAGAATAGATAAGCCACAAGGAAACCAAAGACTAATCAGCACAGCTGGATCCCAGACTGACTGTGCTTTACCCCGCCTGGCATATTGAGTTTGTTTTCTCCACTGTACCTCCAGACCATTGGGCATCCTCTGGCTGTGTTTCCCAGTCCCCAGGGAGGATTGCCACCCCTCTAGTTTCAAACCAAGTTGGGACTCATTAAGGGTTAAATCAACATTGGACGAGGTCAAAGAGTCAGTGAAGAAAAATTATTGGTTGAGACCCATACAGAGTTCATGCTAGCTACTGTAGTGTATGTTCCACATCCCATATTCTGGCCTTCAGTCTTACAGATAACTACACATACCTACTGTGATGGTTAACTTTAATTGCCAACTGGACTGACTTGGGGGTTGCTGTAGGAATTAGTAAAGCATACTTTGGAGTGTTTCTGGGTGCGTCTTCTTCTGGTCCCTCACCCACCTCATTGGCACAATTCCCCTCTCTGCTTCCTGGCCACTATGAGCTAAGCAACTTTATTCTGCCAGGCCCTTCTGCCCTGATGTTTTTCCTTGGTGCTAGCAAACCACGGACTGAATCCTCAGAAACAATAAGCCAAGTAAACCTCTCCTTTAAGTTGTGGGTATCAGGTAATTTGTCCCAGAAATGGGAAAGATGACTAATGTACTTATGTATTGCTAGGGACCCAGGATTTTCCAGAAAACTGATAAATGCTCACTTAGCTCACAGAAGAATTCATGGAAAACCCAAAGTGCTAAGGTGTTTAGCTCATAATGAAGAATGTAACTGCCCACAAGATTCCGTTAGTGAAATCAATATGAGAAACTAAGTTAGCAGGTTTCTTGTTGAGCATGAAAGCAGGGCAGGGGAATTAGCACAATGGGTGATCACATGCAGGATAGATCACACTGAGAGCAGGCCTCTCATCTTGCCACCACATGGGATCAGGCAGATTCTTGAGCCAAAGAATTTACTCCCTGGAAATTCCTTGGCCTAGAGACTTGTGCTTGGCAGACACTATTGAATAAGTGCTGGAAATATTTCCTCTGGCATCCCTCTCACCCAACTCCAGCACACTGCCTGAGCAGGCCTTAAAAGAAAGATGCTTAAGCAGAAAGTACTCATAGCCTGTAGGCAAGAAGTGCCCTTAATCAAATTCTGCATTCACATTAGGAAGTGATCATCTTCCTGAAATAAGATGCAAGTGGTTTTCCTTTATTTGTTGTGAGGAAATAGAGGTGAGAGGTTGGGGGTGTGGTCACAGAAGAGAAGATAGGAAAAAAGGAGGATGTATATTTTAAATATCTTTCAGTGTCATTTTAATGGCTTGTATAATTGGATAAGAGTGATTTTACACACACACAAAATGCTACCAGGAGGTTTGAGCCAACGAGCACTCATAACTTAGTGTACTTAAAGGAATCATTTTTCGTGAGATCTAGTGCTTGATTTACAGCAAATGACAATTCAGAACTTTACAAGGAGCAGCATCATCCTGCTGAAATCCACACAACTGGCTAGAGGCAGGGCCAAAATCCATGCCCCCCCGCCTTTTTTTAATACCAGAATGGAACTCGGGTCCTTGCACTTGTGAGGCAGGAGGCAGCACCAATGAGCTAAATCCCCAGCCCCCATGCTTTTAAAACTCTCAGCCCTGAGCATGTTACACTAAGTAAAGATACCTCTTCTCCTATCAGCTAGTTGGTATGCACCAAATAAGGAGAGGGAATTTTGGCTTGGGGGAGGGTGAGGGAGAAGGAAGTGCTTTCTGAGAATGAGACATTGATAGAGAAGAGTGAGTCTCAGAGGGACAAACATCATATATAATAACAGCACAGGCTGGTAATGATCTTACCTGGTTAAGCATATTTCTAAAATTGTCTCCACACATTGCAACCCAACTCCTTATCATGGTTTTCTTTAGCATCTCTTTATTCACCCACACATTTATTATCATTTATTGATCATCTGTTATCAGAATCCGGGGGTCAGCTCCGCTGGATGATGATCTGTACTGTGTTGGCACATTGGTTCTTCTGTCCTTCCTGAGAAGATTTGCGTCTGGGTCCACAGGATGAGGTATGAACACAGTATGCTCTAAACAAGGCTAACTTTTATTAGCAAGAATATTATGTTTGGGAGATTTTCAAGTGGGCCGAGCCAGAGATGGCAACTGCCGGTAATGAAAGTACCCTCTCAAGAAGGGAAGGAAGGTGGGCAGAGTCTGGAAACTACAGTGAGGTCTGGGATTGCTTTCCCTTCTGTTTTCCTAGAATTTGAGGTGTGGTTGGAGTGATAACTAATGGGGCTTCCTTCCAATTAACTGTGAGCCTCCATCCTGTGTTTGTTTGTTTTTTGGTACCGGAGATCGAACTCAGGTCCTTGCGCTTGAAAAGCAGGCAGTGGAACCCCTGAGCTAAATCCCCGGGCCTGTTTTGTTTTTTTTGTGTGTAGTTTTTTTCTTTTTTCTTTTTCTTTTTTTTTTGGTTGGGGATCAAACTCAGGACCTTACCCTTGTCAGGCAGGCACAGTGCCACTGAGCTAAATCCCTAAGTCCGCTACGCTCATGTTCGAGTGGGAATTTTCGAATGTGTACACTCTTAGTTGGAAAAAGCACAGAGCTGGTTAAAACCACCACACAAATGCATGTAAATGTGGCCTGATTGGGTTAGGCAAGGCTATTGTGACTCAATGTGGGGCCCCATATTTGTCCCCCTTCATGTGACTCTGTGGGTTCCAGAGGGTGAAGTCTATATAGCAGCAGGAATATGAAAGAGGCTAGATATGCCCTTCTCAGGAAACGTGGAGATACGAACTCAGGAAACTTCACCACTGTGTGCAGAATTTTTTCCCTGGGCTCAACTGCCAGTCTCCCATTTCCAGTTCATATCTAGCTCACTCCTACTCTATCACATCTAGGTGCTACTTGTGAGAGGTAGGAGACAGGTTAGTGAACATGTTTTTCTTGGAAGATATCTCATGGTACAGTTCAGAGATTCTCAATCCTGGCTGCAGTTCAGAATTACCCAGAAGGCTTTTTAAACTGTATGACTGCTCAAGTTGCTTTTCCGTATGTACAGCTGAGGTCAGAAACCACGGGTACAGTGAGACAGACACACGATCCAATGCTTGGGTGAGATGTTACATGATGGAGGAGATAAGAGTGCTGTGAGAATATTGAAGCAGCCCCTGGTCCAGCTTGAAGCTAGGAAAGAGTCCAGGAAGGCTTTAGGGTGAGATTAATTCTTGTGTGAGTTGTTGGGGGTAAGTATGGAGTTGTATTAGGCAAAGGATACAAGAGAAATGTTTTGGGAAGACAGAAGTGCCTGGGCATTGAAACACTTCCCCTCCCCTCTCCATTTGTGGCTATAACCTTAACACTTAAACCTCATTCCACTGCATTTCTGGCTTTATGAACCCTATGCTGTGGCTTTGCCAGAATTCTTGATATTCATAACTTCACCATGCATTTCCTTGTAACTGTCAGTTTACTTTCGGTTTTGCTGAAATGCCCCTCTTCTATTACTCTAACAAAAATGTATTCATGCTGCAAGTCCCAGCTCTAGTTTTACCCCTTAAACCCAGTTCAGAGAGCACCAGGAGGGCTGCCTAGGCCCTGATCCACTGTGGGAAGGATAGCCATGCCTTCCCCGACCAGGAGCCACCATCACTCCAGTACCAGGGTGCCCCTGAACCCCCACAACTTTCAGACCTCAGACCTCCTGATTGAGCCAGTCTTTGGACCCACTCTGCAGAGGCAGAGGTGGTCATAGAGGGTATTTTTCTGACTTCCTAACATTGAATATCTTTAAAGAAAGGGTGTGGGAAACCTGTAGTAGAATGGTGTGGAGTTCAACCGTTCAGAAGGTTGGGGAACTCAGTCTGGGCCTTGCAGCCTGTGGTCAGTCTGCATCATGGGGTTCAGATTGAGCCAGTCTTTGGACCCACTCTGCAGAGGCAGAGGTGGTCATAGAGGGTATTTTTCTGACTTCCTAACATTGAATATCTTTAAAGAAAGGGTGTGGGAAACCTGTAGTAGAATGGTGTGGAGTTCAACCGTTCAGAAGGTTGGGGAACTCAGTCTGGGCCTTGCAGCCTGTGGTCAGTCTGCATCATGGGGTTCAGCCATCAGCTAACTGAGATCAGGGGTCTTGCATCCTCGCTCTGTCTGAGCCATTAAATGGTAAATATACTATATTGAAAAGTTTGTTCACTGCAGACATGTTCTGGACTGCTTCTTGATTTCAATTTAATTCAAATGATTTAAGGGTGATAGACTAGTGACTACCACAGGTGGTCAGTGTCCAAGTTGTGCTTGATCTTAATGTGTTGCTGATTGTATCAGTTGGGGTAAAGCATTGAGGTTGATTTGATGAGCTGTTTTCTCTGATGTTATGAAGATGAGAATGCCTGTGGGTCATTAGAGACACAGAAGCTAGGGCGCAACTATATCAGGAAGATTTGGGTGATAACCCAGAGATTAAACCAAGGACAGTCCGACAACAAAAATTAAAATGAGAAAACACTTAAGCAAGACACAAGGACAGACTTCCAGTTCACCAATGGCAAACAGTAGGGCAAATGAGGATGAAAAGGCCGATAGTGAACCACCAGGACACCCTGAACTCAAAGCACAGGAAGTAACAAAACAGATCAATCAGGCTCTAGAAAAATTCAAAACAGAAATAATTTCCCAGATAACCATAGAGATAGTGAGCAAAATGGAAGTCGTGATTCGAGACTCTAGAGCAGAAACTGACAAAAAAATAGATGAGCTCAGGACCATGATAGAAGCCATGAAGGCCCAGCATAAGAAAGAAATGGAAAAAATAAATGCCCAACATAGGAAAGAAATGGAATCCATAAAACAGATTCAAACAGATATCTAGGAGATTAAACACTCCATTGAAAGTGTACTCAACAGAATAAAAGAATGCGAAGATAGACTCAGATATAGAAGATAAGATTGCAGTCAGTGACCATGAAAAGAGAGGTCTCTTAAAAACAGTAAGAGATCATGAGAAATCGATCCAACAACTCCTAGATGATGCAAAGAAGAATAACATAAGACTGATAGGAATACATGAAGTAGCAGGAGAAAATACAAATGACTTAAAAAAGCTGTTTGCAGAATTAATGACAGAAAACTTCCCAAACAGAGGGGAAGAATTTGACATTCAGATAACTGAGGCATATAGGACCCCAACTAGCTACAAAAAAAAAAAATCTACACCTAGACATATAATAATCAAGATCCCAGAAACCCAACAGAAGAACAAAATACTACAAGCAGTAAGAGAAAAGAAACAAATCATATGCAAAGGAAAACCCATCAGAATCACAGCAGACTTTTCAACACAAACCCTTGGGGCAAGGAGAGCCTGGAGTGAGATATTTCAAGTACTAAAAGAGAACAACCTCCAACCTAGACTGATGTATCCAGCAAAACTCTTTCAAAATGGATGGGGAAATAAGATACTTCCACGACAAAGAATGCCTGAGAAACTACATGAATACCAAACCAGCACTACAAGCAA